TAATAAGACAGAAATTGCCGTCCCCGTCGCCCTGGTCATTGTTGAGTATTGTCTATTGCCCAAGGAATGGTCTGACGAACCATCTCCTGGGGGCACTCAGCAACTTTTTCCGCTTTCCCTGAGATAGTGCTATTTGCATTCATAAACAAACAGAGTTACAGCTACTTTAAGTTGAAAGCCTTAATATGACAGGAAAAGTGCCGAAATATAGTAAAGATAAAACAAGAAGAGGAGAAAATAGTGCAATGAGAAGGCGGAGAGAAATGGGGAACTAGAAGAGAACGTACTCAGTGAAGAGTTCTGTATAAATCGCTAAAGGCCGTAAAGACATAGTGAAAGTATGCACACTAAACGTTTGCTGGTGGGGAACTCGCCTTCCTCAGCGGCGCGTCTCTTTTTTTCCGCTTCCCTTCTTGCCTCCTCCTCTGCCTCCTTTCGAAGGCAGCTCAGGAGCAGGTTGTGGTAAGATGGCAGCGTGTTGGCACGCATAGTTGATATGGTATGTTCTGTGCCAAAGGATTTGAGAACTAGCAACTCACAGGCCAGTTGATCCCGATAGCTAGAAACGAGGATCAGTAAGGAAGATGAAGTGAATTTGGGTTGACAGTTTAAAGAAAGTCTAAGGGAAATCTGAAATCTGGGATATCGTATTCCAAAAAGTAAAGGGTAAACATGTGCTTCGTCAACTCACCGAGTTATAATCTTCCTTAGAGCAAGCTCATATCGCCTCGACTCAAAGGCCGTCTCCTTGTAGAGGAGGTCCAGTTTGGCCGCACGTTCCTTCATGAGGTGGTCTCGTATTCTTGGTAGAATCTCGTACTCCTTTTAACATAAATCAAACGGTTAGAAGCGGCACTTCGATAAAAGTCTTGGAGAGTGCATTTAGACTTCCACTTACTTTATTTCGCTCGATGCATGTTTCAATTTGACGTTGGCAAACAGGGTGCTACCCAGTCACTACTAAATCTACGTCATTGATTGTCAATTTGGTAGTACCCCCTATTACTGTTGCTTTTTCTTTTGCGACTTCTATCTCTAACAATGAACCCCTGTACAAATTCAAACGCTCAGAAAAATAAGGAGAGACTGTTCCAGGGAAGTTGTATGTAACACACTTTGGCAGCACGTTCTTGTCAAAATACCTGGGCAGAAGCCGAAACTAACTAAAGTTCCCTAACCTGATCAAGTATATAGTGCACTTGCGAGTTTGGATACATCTTCATATGACCAGAAGTCTAGGGGGCTTAATTCTGACCAACATAAACCACCATAAAATTCGGGAGACCGTAAACCAAATTCACTTTACATTTATGTTGTTTCCTAACTAGCGATACAACCACTCATTTTCTGAAGCAAGTGATGTTCTTGTGGTCCCCCTGTCATTTCCCATCCTTACACAGCCGTTTCAAGCTCTTGTCTAGCACAGTTCGCAATAAACTTACCCTTAGATCGATGCGCATGTGCTCAGGAAGCTTTTCGTTCTGTTCCTTCAGACGTTTGAACTTCATGCGAAGTTCAGCAACCTTCCGCCGTGTATCTCGTCGCTTTTCTTCGCCCTGTTCCACCAGTTTTGCCCATTCCGCCTTTTTTCGTGCTCCTTCAATGCTGTCCGCTTTTGGATCATCAATATCATCAGTTTCAATGGGTCCCGCCTGCAAAGGTTTAAACGCATCTTCTAAGTGGGTTAGAAAACCGGACGGCAAAGACTAAGTGAATTGTAAGAAACTGGGCCGACCATTGGGACCTAAGAACCATCGAAAACATGTCCATCGGAATATAAATATGGTATTTCAAAGCAGCTTTTAAATTGCCAACTAAACCCAGAAAAATCTACAATATATCTACGGAAAAATGATGGATCATAATCTCTGTTGCTCCCAAGGTTAGTTTAAAGCTGTAAAATGCACAAAACGGTCGCTTTTCAACGAATCACGACATCCGAACAAGTGCGTGCACGATCAGCAAAAGTTTTATCCCATGTCAACGAAAGGGGGCATCGATTCCAGTCTCTGTAATACTGAAAATGTCGGTCCGTGTACTGTGCGTAGGGACGTGGAGTGAGAAGTCAAAGAATTACATCATGGACTGAGCTTACAATAGATGATTAATTACCCCTAAAGGAAGGAAGGAAGTCTTACGACACTTCTTAGCCTGCGATCAGGCAGAAGTTCCTCTGGAGTCTTAGCGGTGTATTCTTTTACAGGTCTGGATGGTGTATGGCTAAGGCTAGTTTCATTCTTAGATGTCAGCGGGCATATTGATTTTCATTTCCAGCTGTTATGCCCCGACAGGTAGGGAGAGGCCGGCCATTAATTGGGACCGCATGCGTGCGCAAATGAATCACGCTTGCTTGATAGCGCAGCGCACGCTGATTTGCTGGCTGATTTCACGCGCGCATTTCGCAACCGGCCCAGCCTGCTTGTGGGGTCACGTTTACCCTTCGTCTTAAGTCGTGATTCCATTCTGTTTCTGGTCTCCGTATCAATCACATTTTCAAAAGAGGAGAAAATTGCCCACTTCGGATGCAGATTTAGGGCATTATTTGTACCCTCCCGGAGATGTTGTGCACATACAAGCGAAATTAACCCGAAATCAGTTAAACACATAATACTTATGGCATCCTCTGCCCAATGTAAGCAAACAGGTGCATTACGCTCGAAAAAGTCCTCTAATGCCTGTATGTCCTATTACGCATGTAGGTGGGAGGGGTGATAAAGCGAACTTGAGAGGCAGAATGTCTACGTCAGTAGAAGTGGGAAGCATGAAAGGAGTCTTTAAAAGGTTAAGTTAACTTACTATAGTAGACGGCAGTCTGGCGCGGAATCGTTCCACCGCCACTTCTTGAAGTTCCTCTGACAGCAGTTCGGTTACGAAAAACGTGCCGTCCTCACCAACACTCAGAAGGAAGCTGCAAAGAAAGAGGGAGATGCACTCTTAAATGTTGTCAGTCAAGGAATCCTTCCACTAAGTTTATGTTGGGGTGGAAAATACAGGTTCGCTTCCTTTCTTAGAGGTCCTCCTAAGTCGAAGATCTGACGGTAGCGTCCGAAGGCGCATTTATCGAAAGAAAACTTGATCTGGACAACATACGAACTTGACCAGTTTCCTAGACATCCAACAGAAGCGCAATCTAGTCCGCCGCTTAGCGCAAAGGGGCTAGAGAAATTTGTCGGATCGATATTATTGAGATGGAACTAAAGAAAATCCAGGACTCGCTCCATGAAAACGGGTATCCTGAGAGACTCATCACAAATAATATAGTGGCGTAACGGATAAAACCCACCCTAATTACTACAGAAAGGAAAACGCTATTCCCCAAGGTCCCCTTCAAAGGGGATGTGGCAAGTAAATTCCTACGAAGACGCCTTCACCAAGCCGTATCAAGAACCTTCCCAGCAGTGACATTTCGGTAACTATTCTCAACCAACCCGGTCTTCCATGGGGAAGGTTAGGATGGGTTGCCAGTTCAGACAACTTCTATGTGCACCTACTCATTTACTTGTACCTGTGGAGCAGGTTATATTGGTCGCACGAGTCAGCACTTGTCCGAAAGAATAAGGAAACTTCTCTCTGCATGGCCGAGAAAAGGTGAAATCAGGAGCATAAACAGCGCTATTCTCGCGCACATAGTTCATTCCGGACATCGTGTGGACCCCAACAAAACCTTCCGGGTGATTTATAAGGTCCTATCAAATTACTCGAAGTCCTTGGGTCAGTGACTGCAGAAGCGACCGCTATCCGATTGAGGAAGCCGGTCTTGTGTGCGCAAAAGAACCTCCTACAAGCTCCGCCCCTGGCATGACCAACGGTCGCTTAACTGCATGCACTTTCCCATGTTCTCTCTTTCTCTCTTCCCCCTCCCCCTGGATCGGCTCCATTCAACCCTTCTTGCTGCGTAACCAGCTTTCTCTTATCGACCCAACTTACCCTCCCCCCCTGTTCCCACAATTCACTTGTATGAAAAGATGAACATTATTGACCGCATATTTTAACTTTTACGGATCCGATAAGAATTTATCCAAAGCTTACGTATGCTCGCCTACTGTTCTCCTGAATTCTCAGACGGTTATTTGTGCAACTTTAAAATATCTAATTTGTTGTGACCTCCATCTCGCCGGACGGGAAAAGAATCTATCCAAACACCGAATCCCGGCCTTTGAAAACTGTGCCCATAGATGAAGTGCGGCAACTTCAAATGAAGGAGAGCACGTTTTGCAGGTTACTACAACAACCTCAGCTCTTTAATCTCTAACCGAAGTTTAGCCATCTTGAAAGCGTCGGCTAACAAGACATAATTTAGGAAATGAAACTGCCCAGTGAAAATGCCCTAATGAATGATTTAACAAATTGACGTAAAAAAAAACATTTAATTCCAGTGGTGAGGAAACAATATCGAGTCGAACAAAACTTTTCGGGGACATGCCGCATCTCTAAGAAAACTGTTCAACCATCAGTTGTCAGGGCTAATCAAGCCTTAATATATAGTTGATACACAAAGTACCCGAACTCGAACGATACAAAACCCCCCATCGCAGCCACTGCGGGTAAAATCTGTCAAAATACTCCTTGGTCTTCTACAGATGATCCGTCCCTTAGATCGCTGCATGGAAATATTCCGCCGTTATTGATTTTATTCAAAGACCGAGGCCTGCTAAAAGCAACTTTAGATTCACACATGGTGAGAAGGCCTATGTAAAAACAAAACCTTTTCTAATTATAGATTTCGTAATTTAAAAGCCATTCATATGCTGATTTGAGCATTCACATAGAACTGGCAAAAAAACTGGACGTAGAACCTCGGGTAGTCCTATACCGAATAGCAATTTGGTGTAGTTCATGCAAAAAACAAGTCCATCGCGCAGTTTTCCCCGCAGTGGACACAGCAACAAATGGGTATGCATTGTCGCAGACCTGCGCTACCAAATACTTCTACATTTGTCGTATTCCAATGGCGAAGCAGGATCAAAGCGACTGGACGCGATGACTGACAAAGCTAAACAAGCCGCCTGCATCTCCCACACAAAACATATTCTCCCAGTTCATTAAATATTCCCATTTTTTAACTTGAAAAGTTAATTTGTTAGGCA